ATTTCCATTGAAAAGAGAACACTTCATTTAAGGAAGCAGTAAAAACGTTAATGGATTTTGCAGAGCTGCTCTGGAACAAAACAGGCACACATTGCTCCAAGTGGTGTCAAGTGGCGTCAGCATTCTGGAAATGGTTTTATGGCCAAGGTTTGCGGAGATCCCAGGATGGGAGGCTAGACCTGTGTGTGGGTTTGAGATCCAGGAGAGACTCGCAGACACATTTCCACAGAGGGGCACAGAATATGGAATTTCATGTAAATCATTAAGATTTTTCTTCAGACTGTGACTGTTTCAGCAATCCTTCTCTCTGTAGGCCACAGACGAGGCACAGTAACTGTGTCTGTCATGGCAGCGATCAATAGGGTCATGGGTCAAGCTAAGAATCATGGGAACTGTAGTTCACACACACCAACAGTGCCTTTGCTAGGTGTCACATTGTCATGCTTTGATCCTCCTGCTTTGTCTATCGCATTGTCATAGTTACTCCTTATCATATAGGTTTCGATACTCTATACATTCTAACATTCTAATTAAACTTACATTTGTTACAGACTACGTCTCACATTTGGAATGTTTTAAACCTCTTAGTAACAGAGTTCCCTGCCTCTTTCTTTGTGATTCATCCAAAGTCCTAAACCAAAAACATGATATATTCACAGAAAATGACCAATGTCCTACACCCCTGTTGGATTTCTTATTGCCATTTTATTATTCATGTAACACTCTATTATATTAATAAACTTTTCTTTTTATTCAAATTCTGTTGTGTCATTTTGACTATTTAAATTAGTTGCTTTACATATAAAATACACATAAAAATACATATTTTCCTACTTTTACCACACTCAACCCCTTTGAAGAAGTCAAATAGCCCCACCTGCTGTCCACGGGTGGGGGCTAGAGGAAGGACAGTGATCTGTCTGCCCGTTATTTTCATATTTAAAGTCCCCCACCTGATGCCTGTCAGAGTGCTCCGATCGGCTGGCTTACAAGTCAACCAATCAGAGCACTTTAACAGATAGTATATAGTACGGGAAAGCCTTTATAAAGACTTTTCCCTCTAAGAAGCCTTATTCTGTGTGGCAACCTCGTTGGCGAAGAAGGATTTAGGGGAATAGGGAAGTGGATAGTAATCTGTTCACCCCAATTTTTAAATTAAAAGTTCCCCACCCGATGCCTAAGTCCCCCTCCCTGTTATTTTACAGGCCCCATCTCCTAAAATTTAAATCTGTAGGACAGCGGTTCCCAAACTGTGTGCCTTGGCGCCTCAGGGCACACATGGGCGCCACAACGGGCACACAGGGACGCCGCAAGATATTTTCCCGGTGACGATAGCACCGGGAACTGTGCCTCCCTCTCCCCAGCTGGCTCTGCAGGACCGAGGGGAGATCAGAGATCTCCCTCTCCGGCTCGCTAGCAGTGTAATGCTGTAGCCGGCAGGGGAGGGAGAAAGGACCCAGAGGAGCTCTAACCTGCAGCTCACTGGGTTCTTCTGTATCCCTTTCGCACAAACTACCCCACATACGTACACACTGCACCCCTCACACACGCACGCCATCCTTCACAAACACAATGCACCCCTGTACGCTCACTACACACCTCACACGCACACACTGCAACCCTCACACACACACTGCACTAGGGATCGACCAATTATCGGTTTCACCGATATTATCGGCCGATATTCTGTATTTTTGGCAATATCGGTATTGGCCAATAGAGATACCGATATTGCCGATGATACATACCAGGATCGCCGGGCTCATTACAAGCCTGGCGGTCCTGGGGGGCAGGCAGCAAGCTGTTACTTACCCTTCCTGCAGCTCCTCCAGCTCCCAGTGTAAATCTTGCGAGTCCTGTGGCTGTCAGAGCGTTGCCACGGGTTACCATGGCAACGCTCCGCGTGGCACACAGACCGAGAGATTTACACAGGGAGCTGGTGGAAAGGGATGTAACAGCTTGCTTTCTTCCCTCCCCCCTAACCCCCCCACTGCTCAGTACATGCCACTGGACCACCAGGGAATACCATAGCCCCACTCCCATGCCAGGTAACAAGCAGGGAGGGGGGACAAAAAAAAAAACATAAATAAATATTAAAAATAAAAAATGCCTCCCCTCCTGCCCATTTTACACAAATTACATCCCTTCACAAACACACACACACTCTGCATTATACACACACAAACACTCTGCATTCATTATATACACACACTACACAAACACACACACTCTGCATTATATAAACACAATACACAAACAAACACACTCTGCATTATATACACACACTACACAAACACACACACACTCTGCATTATACACACACAAACACTCTGCATTCATTATATACACACACTACACAAACACACACACTCTGCATTATATAAACACAATACACAAACACACACACTCTGCATTATATACACACACTACACAAACACACACACTTTGCATTATATACACACTACACAAACACACACACACTACACAAACACACACTCTGCATTCATTAAATACACAGACACACTGCATTCACTTTAAGCACACTGCATTCACTATACACAAACTACATTAACTATACACACACTACACAAACACACATTCTGCATTCACTATACACACACTACATTCGCTATATATACACACTACACAAACACTCACTGCATTCCCTATACACACTACACAAACACACACACACCCTGCATTCATTATATACACACTACACAAACACACACTGCATCCACTACACACAAACAGCTCCCCTGTCTAAACTCACTGCATCCACTACACGTGGCATGTATATTTTGTGCATTTACCTTTAGAAATAGTTTATTTTTTCAAAATGGTAAATGTACAGAATATCGGCAAGTTATTGGCTATCGGCCTGAAAGTTCACAAATTATCGGTATCGGCTCTAAAAAATCAATATCGGTCGATCCCTACACTGCACCCCATACACACACACTCCACCACTGTCACATATTGCACCCCCAACACAAACTACTGCCCCTATACCAGCAGATCCCAGGTAAGTTGTCAAACCGTTCTTAAACAGTTTGACTACTCACTCTGGCATCATAACCACTACAAAGTGCTGTAGTGGTCATTGTGCCTGGATTGTTTCTTTAAATAATCTACCTGTGCCCCTCCCCTCCTTGAACGGCAAGCATGCCTACCCGCAGGGGCCCAGTATATACCGCAGCGCTGTACATATATACAACTTAGATAATTGTTTTGGCTTGGGGTGCCTTGGAAAAATATTAACATATTAAGGACACCTTGAACCTAAAAGGTTTGGGAACCACTGATGTAGGAAATATGTCTCCACTAGCTGCATGACAGACGGGGGCGTAGGGATGTTTAAAGATATTGTTAAATAGTCCGAATGGCTGTATACGCAGTCATATGGTTTTTGACCCATTCGGTGCTGGGCCATTCAAACTTTAGTGAATAACCCTGTGATACATTTTGAAAATGACTGGTTAATTTGATTCTATATCAAATTCTCTTTATGTTTGTTAAATGGAAATCTCTCATGAATAAACGATCTATAATGCTCAACATGAGGTCTCATTGTGTTGGTTGCGATGTGCAAAGTCATTACGTTTTATCTGTTTTAATCTTCTATTGCCATTCCAAAGAATGGTTGTTTGTCGATGGAAACCTCTGAGAATTGTGATAAATGGAGCTATCTTACAGCCAATGACAATATTCCTTGTGTTTACTGAGTGAATGAAATGATGAAGGCGTCTGGCTCTAAATACAAACCCTGCTTCCTGAATGTGTAGAGGCAGCCACAGCTCTTGGTTTCGCTACATTTAGAACCAGGTTGCAGTTCATCAAATGCACTTTGCCACCTCCTCCCCTCCCCTCCCCCATTAATTTTTAATTAGTTCCCACCTGAATCCATGGAAGGGTCGGTGGTGATTATTAAACACTCAAAGCATGTTCAGCAGAGAACCTGCTTCACAAAATCCGGACATTGTCACATGCTGTGACTAGTGACTAGATTTTGTAATCCAAATGGTCCCATACAGGCCCAGATGGTTTGACCAATTTGGTATGGGGCCATTCCGAATATAGTGACTTTAAATCCTAACATTAACCCAAACCTTAGCACAAACACTAACACTAAACCTGGCTTTAATCTTAATCCACTAACACTGAATTATAAACTTTATATAATGGTGACGGTTCTGTAGGCATTTCTAAAGTAGTCTTCCGTCTTGTCTTTTAGTATAATGTCTCTGGAATCATTCGATGGAATTATTTTTCCCTAGTAAAGAGTTCACAGCTATATCTCGCCTCTCTTTCTTACTCTGTATATAAAATAAAACTAGATAAGAGAAACGGATACAAATAATACAACACACTTATTGGACCCCTGTATGTTGTACTCTACTTACAACATGTGTTTATCTTACTGTATAGGGCATCTCAATATTTACCTAATATCTCTTTATTTAGAAAATTTCTTTGATTTTTCTTTTTCTTGCATTTCATTTTTTTTAAATGTTTTTTTTTAATACATTTTTTTAATAAATCCAAATTTCCATATTAAGATTTGTAAACCAGAATCCAGGAGAGCAGATGAAGTATAAGAGCTGGATTAGTGCAGGGGTAAGCTACCTTTACCACTCCAGACGAGTACTGAAGGTTGCCCAGTCCTGCTTTAGCGTCTTGGTGAGTCAAGTGATTGTCAACTCTGACATTGCACATTCAGAGAAGTTTTTAAATAATTTAACGTCTTTACAAAAACATCTCGATTGCTCCCCTGTGCCTTTACTTTGCCCTGAGGTTCAGAATTATAATTTTGCAACATTTCTGAATGTGTTCTTTGTACTTTGTACTGTTGACGTGTTCAGTTTCAGAAAGCCATTGTTGAATTGATGACTTTTGAAGGTTTTTGATGTCTTTTGTTTTATTATTGAAAATAACATATCATGTAATACAGCAATCTGTGTATTGTGTTGGAATTCCCACATCATTAAATACCGAGTTCCAGTCTATGTCCTTGTTTGATCCTTGCCCCATGGGAGTGGCCATCTTTAAGTCTTCCTTGGTCAGAAGCAACATTTATCCGACCAAAGAGGAGAGTTACTGGCTGTTCATGTATCATGAAGCCATTAACAAGCACTGAGCATCCCTGAGGTGGTTTTAGACACAGATTAGCCATGGTCCTCTGCTAAGTGGTTTTTCCAACAATTAGTGTAAAATATGGCTACCTCGGTGGGGCAAGGAGGGGAGCAGGGAACATGTTACAATTTCTTTCAACTCTTTCACATCATTATTAATTTCAACCACCTTTGCTGGAAGTTCTTTTCATGGGTCTAAAATGTCTTCTGTAGAACAATGTATCCTAATATTCCGATGTTAGCCTCACATTACGATCTATACTTTATTGGACAAAATCTATGTCTCTATATAGCAGATTGGTATTTCATTTAAAAAGACCATTTTCTTTTCTGATTTGTTGAAAGTTGTTTGATTAGTGAGAACCTCTACGTTATATTAAGTATTGGATCATTTCAAATATCGTTCGTGGAAACCCAATGGTTTGTTTTATTGCTGTCCATCAAACAAATCACTAGAAGATTACTGGCGTATTATGAACCGTCCATGGGGAACAAATGAGACACATTATTGGGATAAATTATCACACGGATTTAGCTCCTTGGAAATTCTATACAATATTTGCCAATTTCATTAAACCAGGAAAAGACAATGGAGTTTTAGTTTAAAATGGTCAAATTTGGAACAAACTTCAAGCCAGTTATTTTTGTAAGTGTGTCTTTTATATCCTGTGCGATCTCAATAACTTTCAGTTTAGTAAATGACGCCATGTAAGCCAAGGAATATCAGCTTTACTGTGTGTCAACAACTGTGAGAGAAAATAAACACACAGACAAGATTCTATTCTCTATTATTCATTTCTAAATGTATAGTAATATTCAAAATTCATACATCTGTTACAATACGTTACAAGAATCAAAGCATAAAACTGCTCGTTAATCACTGTTCCCAAATGGAAAATAAAACTCTGACAGATACAGTAAGTAAAACAGGTTAGTGGTAGCTATTACACATTTCTTTATTAATTCTTTCTGGATAGATAAAACCTGAAGTCCTTCATGTACAGTAGGCAAAGGCGTAACCGCGATCAACAACGCAATAGAACGCAATAGAACGCTATGTATCTGAGCGGCGAGTGGGAAACGGCGAGCTGTGTGTTAAAGGGGAACTTGTTATATGTCGTATATATTAATAGATGCTACTCTGCAAAGCTGTCTGCAGACATTTATTGTACAACTTACTTTATTCCAACTTACCTACTGTCTGTAGAATAATCAGGGAGCACAGCCGCTCACGCAGAAGGGAGGACAATTAAAGGAACACTCCAATCAGTACCGAGACGTTAAACTCCTTACAATGGAGGGGCCAGTGCACTCCTGGCACCATAACCACTGCAGCGTGTTCTAGTGGTTATGGTGTTTGGATTGTAACTTTATCCTAAATCCCTAATATAGTTTACAAAGGAATATGGACATTACAATGAAAATGTTGTCCGTAGAATACTCAGACATACAGTTGCAAGAAAAAGTATGTGAACCCTTTGGAATTATATGGATTTATGCACAAATTGGTCATAAAATGTAATCTGATCATCAGTTAAGTCACAACAATAGACAATCACAGTCTGCTTAAACTAATAACACACAAAGAATGAAATGTTGCCATGTTTTTATTGAACACACCATGTAAACATTCACAGTGCAGGTGGAAAAAGTATGTGAACCCCTAGACTAATGACATCTCCAAGAGCTAATTGGAGTGAGATGTCAGCCAACTGGAATCCAATCAATGAGATGAGATTGGAGGTGTTGGTTACAGCTGCCCTGCCCTATAAAAAACACACACCAGTTCTGGGTTTGCTTTTCACAAGAAGCATTGCCTGATGTGAATGATGCCTCGCACAAAAGAGCTCTCAGAAGACCTACGATTAAGAATTGTTGACTTGCATAAAGCTGGAAAGGGTTATAAAAGTATCTCCAAAAGCCTTGCTGTTCATCAGTCCACGGTAAGACAAATTGTCTATAAATGGAGAAAGTTCAGCACTGCTGCTACTCTCCCTAGGAGTGGCCGTCCTGTAAAGATGACTGCAAGAGCACAGCGCAGACTGCTCAATGAGGTGAAGAAGAATCCTAGAGTGTCAGCTAAAGACTTACAAAAGTCACTGGCAAATGCTAACATCCCTGTTAGCGAATCTACAATACGTAAAACACTAAACAAGAATGGATTTCATGGGAGGATACCACAGAGGAAGCCACTGCTGTCCAAACAAAACATTGCTGCACGTTTACAGTTTGCACAAGAGCACCTGGATGTTCCACAGCAGTACTGGCAAAATATTCTGTGGACAGATGAAACCAAAGTTGAGTTGTTTGGAAGAAACACACAACACTATGTGTTGCGAAAAAAAGGCACAGCACACCAACATCAAAACCTCATCCCAACTGTGAAGTATGGTGGTGGGGGCATCATGGTTTGGGGCTGCTTTGCTGCATCAGGGCCTGGACGGATTGCTATTATCGAAGGAAAAATGAATTCCCAAGTTTATCAAGACATTTTGCAGGAGAACATAAGGCCATCTGTCTACCAGCTGAAGCTCAACAGAAGATGGGTGATGCAACAGGACAATGACCCAAAGCATAGAAGTAAATCAACAACAGAATGGCTTAAACAGAAGAAAATACGCCTTCTGAAGTGGCCCAGTCAGAGTCCTGACCTCAACCCGATTGAGATGCTGTGGCATGACCTCAAGAAAGCGATTCACACCAGACATTCCAAGAATATTGCTGAACTGAAACAGTTCTGTAAAGAGGAATGGTCAAGAATTACTCCTGACCGTTGTGCACGTCTGATCTGCAACTACAGGAAACGTTTGGTTGAAGTTATTGCTGCCAAAGGAGGTTCAACCAGTTATTAAATCCAAGGGTTCACATACTTTTTCCACCTGCACTGTGAATGTTTACATGGTGTGTTCAATAAAAACATGGCAACATTTCATTCCTTGTGTGTTATTAGTTTAAGCAGACTGTGATTGTCTATTGTTGTGACTTAGATGATGATCAGATCACAGTTTATGACCAACTTGTGCAGAAATCCATATCATTCCAAAGGGTTCACATACCTTTTCTTGCAACTGTATTTAGCAACTCTGGCATCCTGAGAAGTAGTACGTCAGTGGGAGAGGATTGAAGGGGCAGGCTAGTGATACAATTATGTCACTGGCTGCACCCAAAAAGGCAGACCTCCAGTACACTCTGCCCTAAAATTATGCACCTGCACTATGCTTCTTGGGGAAAGTTCAAAGAGAACCTGGAATCGGAAATGTCCTGCCAAAATCAGGATGGTTGGGAGGCCCACTCTGCAAACACAGCAGCTCACAATAGAGGGGGGGCAATTTACAAAATAAACCCAATATATTTTACACTAAAGGGATATGGACATTACAACTTAACTGCTGTATTTTTTATACTAAAAGGCTATGACCTCTAAAAAAAATCTGCAAAGTAGAATTTATTAATATATACTGCTACATATAAAGAGTTACTTTTTATTGTGTCAGTTCCTAGTTTAGGTAGGGATAACATATCCAGCATGTTTTCTGGGACACATAATGAATGGGCAACATACAGTAAGTGCTGCCCTGTAGTATGTAGAAATCAAATGCTGCAGATGATAAATCAGGTGTTAAATCAATCAGGAATCCTTTAGCATATACATTATACATAATACAGTGCAGCCTCCATATATTACCAATCAACCTGATGAAATGTCCGGTTTGTCCCAGAAAACATGGTGGATGTGGCAACACTTTTTTTAGGTTTTGGAAAAAAAATTTAAAAACTCTTACACTTCTAAATAGGTATGGACCCTATGACGGCACCGAACAAAACCTGAATGGATGAGAGTCTTTCGATTTGTAGTCACAGGCACCAAATTTGTACAGGTTGCTTGTGCCAGTTGGTTTAACTGAATGCGCCAAGGCATAACACAATTCTTCATGTTTGCTAAAGAGCTTTTCACAACATTTATATAATAAAAACCACATTAAACCAGTTTCTAAAATTAGATTTTTGAGATTTTTAAAATGACTTGATTTTTTTACCGGCCGAGGGGGGGGTGGGGGTGAGATTTTCGGTTGCACTTATTTTTCTTGCAGCTTCCTGCTCACAAGGCACTGGGAGGGTTCACTACGGTGGATGAAAAATGGCACGTTACCGAGTTATTGGACACTGTGTAACAGGTCATTGCTTTTATACATTCTCATGAAATACCTCTACAACCCCCCTTTGCTCATTGCCAGGTGTTTTAGTAAAGCCGCTAAGCAGAGAGCGGTAGATTTTTAGAAGTCCTACAGCAGGTAAGTGGGATTGCCAAATGTTGTTCCTCCCGTTACACCCACGTTCTGTCCCTGATACATTGTCACTGCAGATTCTTATATTTTTAAAGAGCACGGAGAGGGGGGGCAGGGGTATCTTATAGTATGTTGGCCTGGAGGCACACAGGGTGATTTTTACACTATTGCTTTTTAGTATGGGGGTGGGGGGGGGGCAAGTGCCTAATAAACTCCAGACTCACTGTATATGCAAGCACATGAAACATGTTATAACATATATATTACACACGCAAACAGAAAACATGAAAACAGAACTCAATACAGAGATGCTTGTTTTAAATAATATTAAAAAATAAATGGGAAATCTATTGGAAAATAACCCCTTTTTTCCTATTTCTGCACCCAGAAATTCAGCGCACACATTACTTTTTGTTTTGTCTGTTGGTATATATATATATATATAATACAAAGATGCACCATGCACCGCCAATTGAAATGAGATAATCTGATGCCTTCTCCAGCCAAATATACAGAACAAAGTAAGAGAGCTGCAATGGCTCTTCAAAGCAGCGTAATGAACCTCTAATAAAGCCAGCTCACGTAGTGACATTTCCATCTTCATTCGAGGACTTTCATCAGAACTTGGCTGTATCATCAAGTTTCCTAGATTAAACGGCTCTCTTACTTAGCTTTGAAGACCCATCAGCGCTCTCGTACCGTTATCATACGTATCAGGGTTATTTACTAACGTGAGAATTTAAACTGAATTCAAAACTAATTTCAAATGTACCGCCAATATATCCGAATTCGGAGCAAAGCTGACTTAGGCAATTTTTCCCGCCGGGCCAATCTGATCTTAAATTTGAAGTTTACTTTGAGTTCTCACTTTAGTAAATAGCCAAATATACATATATTTTACGTAAATGTTTTACAATAATGATGACACCTATGCCTTTTTCCCCGTAATGCACAGTTTGATTGACACTATGCAATATGGGAACCCTTAATCTTAGGATGACTCTGGGATATACATGTCCTGGGCCTGTCTAAGATTTGCAAAGGTTACATTCCCAGATAGCAGCTACTGCTCTTTTAATTGATGTCTCTCCCGATAATGATATGTCGGGAGAGGAGGTGACTTCTCGGAGGTTGGAACCAGTGCTACATGGTTTGACTGAATCAGTGGCTACGACCTACTCAGGGGTCCAGTGAAAGTCCAACTTATGTAGGGTGATAAATGCTTGATCCAAGGATAAATCTGACTGCCATTCTGGGGTCAAGAATGAATTTTTTTCTTAGCTTGTTGCAAAATTGGAAGTGCTTCAAACTTGTTTTTGCCTTCTTTAGGGTCAACAGCAAAAAACAAATGTGAGGAAGGCTGAACTTGATGGACGCAAGTCTCTTTTCAGCTATGTAACTATGTAACTTAATTTTAATTAAGTGTTATGAGGACAGGGTTCTTAGATTTAGGGGAGACTAAAATGATGTCGTTTTTTATCTCTTAACCCTTTAAAATAGTGTAGCTTGTCACAAGCTTATGGTGTCAATTTAAATTTTTACATAAGGTTTTCAATAGATTTAATATTTTTGGAAAAAACTTTTAAAATTAATTAATATTTTGAAAAATATGTTAATATGTTAATATTTTGTATGCATGTTTATATACATGATATATGTTTTGCTATTTTATATTGATTTAAAAAAAAAATAAGTTTATCCAAAAATATTACATTCCTTCAAAAGCGTATTCAAAAAATATTAAATTCAGGCCTATGTCCTAACAAACTGAGATAATTATTTTTGTAAAGAAAAAAAAAAAAAACTACTCCACGCCGCCCCCCCATTTCATGTCTCTCTCTTGACTGTATGGAATTATTGTCATACATATGATCAACAGCATTAGATATGACTGTTTGTAATCATTACAATGCACAAAATAGATATTTCTTCCAATGTTATGGAGATGGACAAACCAGCGGGCTGAGTATTTCTTAGGATGCCAATTTATAACAAGACGAATATTTGAAACACACGTACATCTTGTGTTTATTAGTGCTATGTGTTACAGGGAGGTAGAAATTCTACATATTGCAATGCTAAAACAATTAAGAGGTCACTTTTTTGGTAATGCGTAAAAAAAAAAAAGCATCGGTCTCAAAAAATTCTAAAATCTCCCAAATAAATAGCAAAACCACATTGGGAATTCACTTGGATGGTTCTGTTTCCAATAAATGGACTGGGTTTCCTATGCTACAAGCACATACAATGCCTACACGTTGTCAAATACATTGTATAGTAAGTAACAATTGTTTTAAGTTAAAAAAACGAACCCTGAAAAACGACTTTGTTAAAGGGTGTGGGAGGGTCTGGAACCCCAATACCCCCATTTCACAGCAGCACATCATTCAGATAATTTCTCAATCCCACCCTTCTTTTCTTTTTAATTTAAGGGTGGTTTTCCTAAAACGGATCACAGTTACAATCTAGGTTACATTACGATTTGCTAACTGTATATCCAGGAGGTCCGCCCCTTATGTGAACAGGAGTCTGCTCAGAACATATTGCCAACATTTTACCCCAAGATTCCGAGATGTGGGGATGGATTCACTGGAATACCAAACGTTATTTTATAGAGCGCTCCTTATGTACCAGCCATTTCGACCTATGCATGTGCAGGGCACAGAATATGCACTGATTTTGCCCATAGTCATGATTTTGGCGGGTATTTCCAGTTCTTTTAAAAGAGGGACTTTAGAGAAATAACCCATGTCAGTCCCAATAAGAGACGTGGAATATATAAAGTTACATTTTAAGTTAATCACATGAGAACACTACTTTCCTTCACCAGTAGAGGGCACACCGTGAGATTCTGCACATGGTCTAAGACTGCTGAGGATTGTCAAACCATTAAATACAATATATCAGTGACTGACACATTAAAAGGCGTTTGTTACAACCCGATAGCCTTAAATTTGTTATTCACTTTGAATTCTCACCTTAGTAAATAATACTGTCAGATAGAGGCACAAGGACAGTAAAGTCAAGCAAAGACCATTGTCTTTCTGTAGTATGACGGAATACCTCTGTAATATGACGGAATAACTCTGTAATATGACGGAATACCTCTGTGATATGACAGAATAACTCTGTTATATGACGGTATACCTCTGTGATATGACGGTATACCTCTTTAATATGACGGAATAACTCTGTAATATGACAGAATAACTCTGTAATATGACGGTATACCTCTGTGATACGACGGTATACCTCTGTGATATGACGGAATAACTCTGTAATATGATGGTATACCTCTGTGATACGACGGAATAACTCTGTGATATGACGGAATAACTCTGTCTGCTGTCGGGGAAATATTCATAGCTGAACAGAAAGAAGATGTAAGTAAATTTCATTTGTTTTAGTTAACATTCATCAGCCACCTGCCCACTGGGTCACCTGTTTCCTCTTTGGTATAAAGCAAAATAAATGGAAATTAGAAACGCCAAATTTACACCCTGCTGTCTTGTTTTATACCAGACCAGCAATTCATTTGCAGAGCAAGGCTAAAGCCACAGGACCTGCCACAGAGAAGCCACAGCAGCTGGTTAGCGTGGCACCCTGGAGAGGGCTGTTATATTTAAACATGGAGCAATGAGCCTAAAGTCTCATTGTGGGACGGGGCCCCTTTTCCCGCAATAGTATAAGGGTCCAAGTTAGGTACACGGTGAATCGTAGTCAACCGAAATGTGATCTTAAAGTAACCAAATTGGAGATACAACGTATTTGGGAATTATTTTCCAGTCCAGCTACTCTTATCTTCTTATTTTGTAAATGTGACTTCGGCCAGAAGCTTCCAATCACTGTTGTAAAAGACTCTTTTTTCGTTTGTGAATAAGACGCCACTTGTGGTGACACTGGACATACCTGAGCCGTGTATGGCATCACGCATGCACATTTTATAACTTACTGTCACAGAGCTATAAGAGGCTTTCATCTGTACTGACCATTTTAATTACAATATATATATATGTCACCGCCTCTGTAAATAATTGCCAATTGTCGTATAGCAGGCTCCGGATAAGGGTGTTATATAAGGCATGTTAAAAATAAATAGACTGCATTAAAATGGCAGGAAATGCACCCTGGGGTGTCCCATTAATCAATCTGTTATTCAGCATGGATTGATTGGATTAAATTATCTATATATAAAGAAGCAACAGCACCATAACTACTACATGCCGATATAGTTATTATGGTGCCATTAGACATTGGTGCAATGGTCCATTTTCATGCAGTCTGTCTGACCAAGACATTTTCTGAGGCACCCACAGAGCAGGTCTGTTCCCCAGAAATTACAGCACGCGAGGGCTGGGCTGTAGGTTTCACAGAGACAGAATCAGAGAGTTTTGGTCAAACCACTCCGAAATAGTTTGATAAAGCGTAATGGACATTGGCATATAGTGGTTATGGTGCCTAGACTTTTTTTTGTTAAATTATTTTGCTTTTTTTAAGGTAAATTTTATATTTTACAGTTTTTCCAAAACCAACAGTTGGCCACTTTTCTACTTATTTAATATTATTTTTTCATGTTTTTGGAAAGAGCTAGTCCGTTCACTAAATGACACAATCTGACCATGGGAACGACACTACAGCTTTGTATTCCTAACACTCTAGTTTTCCTCCAATGCACTGGGTAACTCGTTTAGGATAATTGTTTATCGCAGAAATGCTGTGGGGCTTTGCTGCTTGGCATCAGGATGAGCCCATGACAGATTAGGCCATTGTAGTGCATACACCTTGTTTGGGCCATGAAACATTGCACAGGCCAGGTATATGGTCAGACCAATGACAAACTAAATAAAGTTGCATCTAAAAGAATGCAAAACGAGAACTAAAATGAGTCAAAAAAGTGGAACAGAGATGGAATGGGCTAGTGCTGAGAAGGAACCTCAAATGGGACAGATGAAAAATGAGCTGGGCAATCAAGGCCTGGAGCTGGAATATGGTGGGACTCAAAACTGAAATGAGACAATCAGGTTGAACAGAAGAAAAGGTGGAAGGTGTGACTTGAAGTGTGTTGGTGAGAAGGAGAAAAGACAGTAGATGGAGATAGAGAGGACCTACAGATAGGATGGGACCAGACTCTCAACATTCTGATGGAGTTTTTGAATAACGACCTGGAGGAAAGAGAAGGATCGCATGGCGGTCCAAAGTATTCTCTATTGCAATTAGGGTGAAATATAGAAATGTCTTAAAAGCTGCTGAATAATTTCAATACAACATACAGACCATTATTTTTCTTTCTACGGTTTGACATAAAATTTTGGCGACAGGTCCATTTTAAGGAAAGAACTGAAAAACCATCTATGACTGTGAGAATTAGGGCACTTGTGGTCTTGTACAGTGTGTTGAAAATGAAGACACAACAAAGTGGGACGTATTATTGGTTCATCCGTCTGGTACTGGCAGGTGTTAATATGTCCAAACTTCATAAAGTGAGAGGTGTGCTTACTGAGTGCAGCCTACGCACTGCACTATTTCTTCAGGATTCCGGAATGTTCCTGTTTATTAAACTGACACACAGTCTAAGTTACATACTTAACGACAATAGATGTACACAGGAGGCAGCAATTTGGATGTGCCATTGCTTTGAAGAGTTATAGTGCTCTGCACGACGTGAGTGACCTTGTCAAAGCGAGAAGTCTCCTTCGCTCAATCATTCAATTTATCAGATGTGACAGTCCCCTTTTGTTTTGTTTGTTTTTTTCTAAAAATAATCTTCTTCAGCTGGAAATATTGCTTACAAACAGAATTAGAAAGCACTTCCTGCTGACTGTCCTATTTTTTCCTTGACAAAGCAGAACAACTTAAAAGAATTGAACGATAGTCCACCTTCAGACCTCCTTCAGTCATCAACGTCAGAATTTACTCGCCTGAGTCGTGTCTGTTGCGAGCTTTTACCTGGTTGTTATCTTCATCCACCGTTAGGCACAGGACTTTATTCTGAAAGAGAAAGGAAAAACATCATAAACTGATCATTGATGGCCCCTCAGAAAGTTCTATATTTACCTACAAGGTTATCACCCTGAGAGCAGATGTAGGTCATCGAAAGACAATTTATCAATATGAGGAAGTAGGACCATTGCTAATGTGTAATCACTGTGACACTGTGTTTCTTTTTGAACCTTGTTGGGATATAGAAGTATTTAATAAACTGAGTACAGTAAGACTTTTATACAGTTGGTGACCGTCAGAAATAATTTGATATGTATGCGTAACGATGCAGGAGCAAGCAATTAAAACGATGCTTCGCTGGTACACAACCCCGGTAAAGATATACCAAATGAAAAAAAATCCCCACTGATTTCTGCTGGAGGGGATGCGGACAGAAAGGGACGTATATCCACATGTGGTGGGAATGCCCCCTGATGCAAAGATTCTGGCAACAAATTAGAGATATCCTAACCCAAGTGCTAAATAGGACCCCCCCTCTAGACCCGTGGTTATACTTACTCAGCAGAACAATCGACGGGTGGACTAGATGCGAACAAAAACTCATCCACAAGGTAACCCTAGCAGCCAGGAGGGCGGTGGCAGCAGACTGGCTCAAACAGACCACTCCACCTCTCACAGGGATCATTAATAGAATAAGGGAGGTACATATGATGGATGACCTGACAGCAAGAGTCAGGGGGACGCAAAAACAATTCCAGAAAGTATGGGCACCATGGGAGGATAGTCCCCTGAGCTAACATTATTCAGTAAACCCGAGGCACACAGGGCAGATAATACAATCCAAAAGAGCAAAGTACATCGATTCTGGGCCTTCCTCCCCCCCCCTCCCTCCCCGCCCCGATATCCCTTCTTGACACCAAATACTCTTTTCTCTCACTCCTCTCCTTTACCTCTTCGGTTCTCTGCTCTCTTTACCTATCTCTCCTCTTATGATTTTATAACCCATAAATCTTAAGTAGACTAATACTAACTCGTTGTACCAGATAAGCTCCTAGGTAACTGACACATGGGCTTTAAGGGGACAATAGTGAGGAATGGCCGACTATCATCTACTACAAAGTACGAAACAGATGGGCTATCAAACTATACACAAGTTGCTCCTGTCACTATTTGTCAAGGCTGATGACTTCGTTCGATACATGCACACGTTCTCTACCAAAGTAATCAGGGAACCTAAAACAATAGGGCACTGTGTTTAGCAGGATACACTCTATCCAAAGAGGTGCACGATGTTTAACATGGTACATGTCATATCTCAATGCACAAGCTGCCAAAACGCGTTGTATGCCACCTTAATAATGTATAAGATGTCTTACATGAGGTACTCCATAGTAAACATATGCACGACATCTCCAGGTTATATCTCTAGTATAGACTATGACACCATACTGGTACATAATATGACCCTATCCTATATTTCTTGAAAAACCAGTGCAGGATGTCTGACAAGGTACCCTAGTTTTTTAAAAAAAAGTATAAAGCAACCTGACATGATACACAACACTTTGCAAGAATACCAGTTGCCTAGCACGACATATGCTACATTGGAAGTGGGCGAGTTACTTTACATGGTATGTTTATCCATTGTCTACTTTTCTCTCTCAACAAATTGTAAAAATTGAAAAATTGTGCTGTATTGTACTTGGTCATGTGTTGTATGTTATGCCTATTACCGCTTACAACGGCTATCGTGGCTGAGTAAGCATGTTGTTTATTTCATGCACAATAGAAAATAAATAATAATAAAAAAAAAATAATAATAAATAATTTGATATATGTCACACATATGCACGCATGAGCGCAGTTTAAAGGGACACCATAGGCATCAAAACAACTTTAGGTTAATGAAGCAGTTTTGATGTATAGATCATGCCCCTGAAATCTCACTGCTCAATTCTCTGCTATTTAAAAGTTAAATCACTTTTGTTTCTGTTTATGCAGCCCTAGCCACACCTCCCCTGGCTGTGACTGACAGCCTGCATGAAAATATGGTTTCATTTTCAATCAGATGTTAATTTGCGTCAGAAGTTTTTATCTCCTGCTCTGCAAAATGAACTTTAATCACACACAGGAGGCTCCTGCAGGGTTTAGCAAGCTGTTAAGAGTGCAGGAGGTAATACATTATAAATTAAACAGAGTTTACAATAAAGGCAGTGTAAACATTCGATGACTCTTTACAGGAAGTGTTTAGGAAGGCTGTGCAAGTCACATGCAGGGAGGTGTGACTAGGGTTCATAATCAAAGGGATTTATCTTCTAAATGGCAGAGAACTGAGCATTTAGACTGCAGGGGCATGAACTATACACAATAACTACTCAATTAAGCTAAAGTTGTTTTGGTGCCTATAGTGTCTCTTTAAGCTTCAGTGGAGCGATTAGGATCTGAGATGTATAAACAAAGGAACATACAGAACATTACCAACCAATCTCTACATGAACCCTAAAATCCTGTCTGTTGCTCTCTGCTAGAATGTAACCTCATGGGTAGTGGCTAGCGCTGGGGGGGGAAGGAGGGTGAGTGAGCTGCACTTTTGTAAAATAGGAATATTTAGCAAACTAAATTAATTACCATTAAATAAATTTTGTTTGCTTGGGTGACAATTTTGTATACATAATGCTTGGGCTGTATACAGTTTATGGCAAGCTTCCCCAAACTCTGGCCCTCCAGATGTTGCTGAACTACAACTCCCATGATTTTATGAATAAAATTGATAGGCTGAGAATCATGGGAGTTGTAGTTCAGCAACATCTGGATGGCCGGAGTTTGGGGAAGCCTGCTTTATGGCAATGAAGGGTTTAAAATACCACATTCAAACATAGGCGTGCGCACGGGGTGTGCCGGGTGTGCCTAGCCACCCTAATTGCTGCGGCCCACGCTATGTGCCTCCACGGGCAGGGAGGGAGGCAGAAGAGGACTCGGGGAGCACTAGCCAGCAGCTCCGCCGGGTTCCTCTTGCGAGGTCGAAGTGTTGCCACGGCAACGCTCAGATCTCGCGAGAGTGAATTCTAGCCCCGCAGGCTAGAGTTCACTCACCACTGGACCACCAGGGATGGCAGCACAGCCCCCATCCTTACAAAAGGTAAGAAGGGAGGGGGGCTATTAACTAAACAGTTCCCCCATCCCCACACAATACACACACACAATACCCTTACACAGCACACACACACTAACAGCACCCTCACTCTAACAGCATCCACCCACACACATACATCACCCTTACAAACACAGCACCCTTACACATACACAGCACACACACTAACAGCACCCTCACACATACAGCACCCACACACATACATCACCCTTACACACACATCACCCTTACACTAACAGCACCCTCACACTAACAGCACTCTTACACACACAGCACCCTTACACATACACACACTAACAGCACACACACAGCACCCTTACACATACACACACACTAACAGCACCCTCACACACAAACAGCACCCTTACACACAGACACACACACCACCCTCAAAAACACACACACACAGCACCCTTACACACACACACACACACACACACACACACACATACATTAACAGCACCCTCACACACACACAGCACCCTTACACACACACACCACCCTCACAAATACTCACACAGCATGTGTGTTTGTGGTTTAGGGTGCACACCCTTATGCAATAGGCTGCGCATGCCTATGCATTCAAATTATAAGAAACATATTTTAGAGATCTTGTTGCTAGTACAAGATGTATATACGCTGCTTTTACTTTTTAGTTCTGGATTACTCAATAGTCAAAATTAGGTCTAGCTACGTGTTTTTTTGTTGGTTTGTTCTGTATCTTGAGAAGTTGTTGGTTTTTTCACACCGTTTAAAAAACTCTTTAAAGGAACATGGTAGGGTCAGGAACACAAATCCTATTTAGCCCCCCTGCCCTCACTAAATTCCCTTAAATATAGTAAAAACTCACCTTATCTCCAGCCCAACATAGGTCCACCAGCGCTGGCTCTATCCGCCTCTATCAGAATTGATGATCTCAGCCAATCACAATGTTTTCCCAAGGAGGCGGATTAGACGCCGCCCTGGCCAATCAGCCTCTCCTCATAGAGATACATTGAATCAATTCATCTCTATGAGGAAAATTCAATGTCTCCATTCAGAGTGTGGAGACACTGAATGTCAGTCACACTGTGCAGCACTGCCCCAGGAAGCACCTCTAGTAGCCATCTGAGGAATGGCCAGAGGCGGTATCACTAGGCTGTAATGTAAACACTGTATGTATACATGGAAATGCCTGAAGAGACTAACTATAATCACCAGAACGACTACATTAAAGGACCACTATAGTGCCAGGAAAACATACTCTGGAGAGAGGAAAGCGGTTAAACTTACCTTTTTTCCAGCGCCGGGCGGGGAGCTCTCCTCCTCCTCTCCTCCTCTTCGGCTGAATGCGCATGCGCGGCAGGAGCTGCGCGCGCATTCAGCCCGGTTTCATAGGAAAGTATTTACAATGCTTTCCTATGGACGCACAGTGATTTTCACAGTGAGAAGCACGCAAACGCCTCTAGTGGCTGTCAATGAGACAGCCACTAGAGGATTTGGAGGCTGGATTAACCCTATTATAAACATAGCAGTTTCTCTGAAACTGCTATGTTTATAAAAAAAAGGGTTAATGCTAGAGGGACCTGGCACCCAGACCACTTCATTAAGCTGAAGGTTTTAAGTTTGCAGTAAAACCTTCAGTACCTGGAATCCAGTGGCAGATGCTGACTTGCCCGCTCTCTCCGATGTCACTGGAGCCTTGCGCAGCCCAAGTACAGGCTTCTCAAACAGATATTGGTCCATTTTGCCAACTCAGAGCACATGAGTGCACGCTCCATGCTAGAAAGGGGAGAGGGCGTAGAAGGGGACGGAGGGTGTAGAGAGATAGGTTTTATAAATACAGAGGGCAACGGAGGAACGAGCGCACAGTGGGTGGGATGGACGGATGTCCGCAAGGGAGAAGATTTCTATGATTATTGTCAGCGTGCTGACGACAGATGCTAAATATTATATAGAATTGACATTTGCAACCCATAACGGCTCTGTGCACTCTGCATGCACAACTTGAACTGCACTCTCTGTCTTTGGTGCCACAACTGTGTGGATAGCATCTCCACCAGAATCTTAAACAGACTGTGCAATAAACATTAGATGACTCTTTACAGGAAGTGTTCAGGAAGGCTGTGTAAGTCACATGCAGTGAGATGTGACTAGGGCTGTATAAACAAAGTAAATTAACTCCTAAATGACAAAAAATTGAGCAGTAAAAATGCATGGGGCATAATCTATATGCCCAAACTGCTTCAAAAAGCTAGGGTTGTTTTGGTGATTAGAGTACCCCTTTAATTGTGTGTTTTATATATATATATATATATATATATATATATATATATATATATCAGAAGAAAGGCCTATCTGTCCTTTAAAACACAGTATATATTATTATTATTATTATTTTTATTATTTATATAGAGCCAGCAAATTCTGTAGCGCTGTACAATGGTGTATGGGTACACATTAAAACGTTAAATTATGTGGGAATAAACACAGCAAAAACAACAATAAGCTGTTGGTCCCACTTCCCGTGAATTCTTTGAAAACTCTCAGCCGCCAATTGGTTAACATTGCTTGGTTTATTATTATTTTATTATTTATATAGTGCCAGCAAGTTCTGTAGCGCGGTACAATGTATTAAGCAGTGAACCAAGCAATATGTAAGCTGAGGGCAGAGGTGGCATGGTGATTATCAGATTACGCATCTGAGGTAATTAGTTCCCCCCTAAATCTCTGCTATCCCTTTACTTAACAAGAATTTGTTGAAGTCTGATAAAATAAATGTAAACGGAGAAATACATCTGCTGTTTTTACCTCTATCCTGGACCAGAGAGCGTCCGCCTGCCGTTTTCTGTCACTGAACACAGTTAATTGAGAAGCAGACACAGAAACAACGTTTCTACTTCACCTTTTCAAATGCACAGTGTGCCCTGACTGTGCCAGGACTGAGCTGGTGTGTGATATCATCTACCAAATATTTTACATACATTTAAAAGAAAATGGTGCATCCCATGGAAAAGGGTTAACACAGGCTAAAGAGGATTTTCTTTTTTTTATTTAACTGTGTAAATTCCATTGAAATTACAGTTTCCTTTTAAATACTAAAGATTTGCTAAGTGACATGAGCATTATCAAATAGTGTGTTGCACTCCATAATTTGTTTAGCTTGTTAATAATATCATTAAACCAATAGAAATGTAGTAACTATCACCAGTGGGTCTCTGCCACTCGATTCTCAATGTGTCCTGGATCGATTTCTTTTCTCCGAATATAATTTTACAGCTGTATACAGATACCACTATACAACGGGAGATAATCGGAATGAATGGCGATAGCATGAAAAACAAAAGCAAAGGCTCATGGGACATCTGTCCCCAATTTAGGTACAAAATGGGTCCTCCACCCCTCACCAACAAAGCACCAAATGCACGTCTCAATTTGGGCCATAAATTGAGATGATTCCTGTGCTGATAATGGCTTATGTCGGCACTTGCTAATTTCAAATTACACATGACATATGAAGATAAGATAAAAACATCCAATCTTAATTTCTTAATTATATGCTGCTCTACGTGTACCAGTGTTGCTTTGCTACATCAATTAGCTCCCTAATTAATTATCTTTTGTCATCTGGTATTGTCCCTGAGGCCAAGAAAATGGCTGCATTTCCTTAAAAGAACCGACATGTTCAGATCTTTGCTTGATGATATGAAAATGTTCCTTTTTCCCTTTCAGAGCTTGGATACATTTCCTTCACAATTTGAGTAATCTCTCCTGACTGTTATTGATATTTACTTATAGCTTTAAATGTTTTATCTGCATTAGATTATATGCTGGGCCGCACTGGGGAAAAATGGAGACATTACACTGAAAACCCTGATGGACCGGTGCTATTTACTAACTTAGGGCTTGATAAATTTGCTTGGAATCTAGGAGCCAGCTAAAAATCTTAGCAGCCAGGTTTTTCAACATCAAAAATACAATCCTTAAAGCTTAATGTAGTTGTTCTGGTGTCTATAGCCTGTCCCTGCAGGCTTTTCAATGTAAATACTGCCGTTTCAGAAAAAAGTCAGTGTTTACATTGTTGTCTAGTAACACCTCTAGTGACAGTCACTCAGATGGCCTCTAGAGGTGCTTCCTGGGTCAGTCCTCTGTCAGAAGCGTAATGCTCCCCATAGAGATGCACTTATTTAATGCATCTCTACGAGGAGATGCCAATTGGCGCGGCATAGCACTACGTTTTGCATTGGATTGGCAGAGATCATCAAGATTAATGATCTCCAGCCAGCGGCGGTGAGCCCGGAACAGCGTGGGAAAAAAGGTTTTATTTTAGTGTTTTAGTGTGCCCACCCAGCCTCCCTACCTTTGGGAGAACTGGAGTGGATCTGCTTTCCCTGTGATCTAGTGGTTTATTGATGCCTGGCCCGGAGTGAGGTTATATTCTAGGCATCACTGGATGGCGCAAGGGAGCAGAGCAGGAGGATTTCAGCTCCCTCACTGCCTCTGCTCTACCTTAGCCGGCCTCCGCCCTTCCATGCCCTCCCCTAGCTTCCATGCCCACCCTCAGCCACTTTCCCTCATCAGGACATACCAGGTGCCTGGGATTTGTCAAGCCCTGTTCTAACTAGAAGGAGGCTGAGTGCACTATTATCAGGAGTTCCAGCAAAGTGATGTATTGGAGCATTTCTGGGGTAGCCCATGACAACACTCTGAACAGCCTAAGCTCGAGGGAGGAATGTTAGGACTGCACTGTGCGGAGGTGCAGACTAAAGCCTCCCCTCTCCTGCTATAAGTTGCTGTGGACAAGTGAGGCAGATCTTTGATCTCTCCAGCAGTCTGTGAAGGCACACAATATGGCTGTTGCATGGATAATGCCGACCTCATATAGGCCGGCAGGACAAAACCTTTGATCTCCCCTGTTGGCCTCGGCTCAGCGTGCCTGAAAACATGTCCTGGCCCGATTACATGAAGTCTGTAAAAACTGTCATAGATTAGTGAAGAAACAAACAACATAGTGAGGCAATGGCTTGGTGAGGTCTAGTTAAGCGCTACAGAATTTGTTGGCGCTATATAAATGGCAATAATAATAATAAATAATAATAGTCACATATCAGGACATGCAGGCTGCAATAACAGCCTGTACGGTTTATTAATGGTCAGTTGCTGTATTTACCATAAACAGCAATATAGCCACAAACACAGACATGTTTTTAGTACGCTGCCTGTAGCCTTAGAATCTACACTGATTAAGAAGACATGCTTTTAGGAGCTCTCTAAAGGGATTGCACACACTTTGAAAGGAAATTGAGTTCAAAAACAAACTGCAAGCTTTTTAGACCAGGATCAAAAACAGAATACAACATTGTTTCTAGGATACCTGTCTGTCTCAAACAGATTGCAAGCTCTTTAGACAAAACATGGATTTAAATCAGACTGCAAGCTTTTCAGAGGTAATTGGAATATAAATGATTGGAAACTCCATAAGAACAACAGATTACGCATGATGTAAGACAGTCTGAGATTTAAACCAGATTGCAAGATTTTCAGAAGAGGCTGGGTCCTTTATGTGACCACCGACTGGCTTCATGTTCCGTACAATACGCCTACGCTGTACCTCTATTATTCTTTGGCTGTATTTACATTTTTGGGGGAAACAAAAGCATCGAATAAGCTGCATTTTTCCTGAGAAATCATTAAATATTCTGTTTCATGCTGTGTGAGCGGTATGGGTTAGACTCTCTGAAAACGGAAACAAAAATGTCAGAATACTTAAGATTACATGAAACACTCCAATCCTGGTGAAAAAATATTAACTCTTTGATGATTACAAATTGCAGTGTGCCTTTTATATTGTTTCACAATGAAATGCTTTTGAAGCATAATGTCAAATCGAGCGGTTGCAAAAGGTTTTACTGAATTAATAAAACAATTATATTGTGTTCTTGCACTTTGCGCTCTACGTGATTCTAGGCAGTAAATAATAAAATATAAAAAATGAAACCAAATCTGCACTCATCATCCTTGTTAGTTTGGGCATCAAGTGTATAAAAAATGAAAGTACTAAGAGGTTTTGGCTTATTGACCACAAGATAGTACACTCTCTCGAAGGATAAGTACTAACTGTCTTATGCGCACAAATCAATACTGTATCTGTCTCTGCCAAGTGTTACAGTGGGGTCAGTGTCCCCTTAATATCCTCATATATAAACAAAGTAAAAGGTTGGGGTATTAAGTGTGTAACTAATACCACTTACATACACCATAAAGCATACATACTACATATTACATACCACCCAAACAGTGCACCGCAGATAGATTAGAACTGTGACCTCTAACACGCTTTGACAACAGTAAGAACGATACAGTAACATGGGAGTTATACAACATTTGGGTCCTGCCACAGTGCGTCCCGAATAATGTAGGTGTCAGTGGGTTAGGAGAAATGAACGTGATGTGGTGCCAAAAAGGGAACTTTTATCTCATATTGAAAGCTTAAAAAAATGACAAAACCAAAAACACTTAAACTAAATGTAACATTTTAATTAATGATGTATTTTAAAAATATCTTGTTACCTTTGGAGATACTTTTAGATCTAATTATCTGTCATTTTCTGAATTTATCCAGTATGTTCTAGACATTGCCATCTCAGAGCCTGAAGCAGCTCAAGCTTGTTTGATAACCTTAGAGGAGCACGCTGTAGTGGTTATGGTACCATTAGTGCCCTGGCGCCCTCCCTGCTAGCCACAGTTTGACTTTGAATCTGACTGGATCCTTTCAGTGCTCTGGTTGGGATTTTACATGCATATAATTCAGTGTTAGTACATAGTTAGCAAGATTGAAATATTAATGGCTGTTAATTGCATTAGACTCCCTGCCTCCCCAGTTACTAAGTCCCTTGTGTAGAAATGGGAATCCTAACTAGTATAAATCTGTATCTACTTTACCCAAACCCTGTTGGTTTATTAAAATCAAGCTTTATAGTGCATTCGTAACACATTCACGCAAAACAAAATGAGTAAAAAAAACAAAAAGTCAAAAACATACTTTTGTTTGTTTTTATTAATATTGTCACAAAATGTTATTCAGAAATCTGAAAATACTAATAATAAAACGTATGTAATATGAAAATATAATGTGTACAATATTAAAGCACAGAACAGAGCTAATATTATGTAACACGATATGTGGTCGCGTACATCCTTTACCCCAAATGTTTAAAGGAATCATATCTTTCTCTCTCTCTCTCTCTCTCTTTTTTTCTCTCTCTCTCTCTCTCTCTCTCTCTCTCTCTCTCTTTTTTTTTTTTTTAATGAGAATAATAACGTGTCGTAGATGTTTCCTTGGTAACTCCCTAGACTTCTCTCCAAGTGTAATTATTATGGCAGATCAAATAAGTTTGTTCCCTTGAAATTTCCTTTTAGACGAATTCTTGAATATATTCCATTATTCACAAAAAATTAGCCATTAACGTCTTCGTCATATCCCCAGACCTTTAACTGGAAATGAATATATGCAAATACTGCAAAGCATGATTAAACAAAATCCCCCGCAGGTTATCATAGGACAAAGGATAGAAAGGTTTTCTTATTTTAATATAAAATAATTTTTCAAGGATTTTTAAAAAAGTGTTTCATACTTCAGCTATATAGCAAATTATACTTTTCACTTTATTTATTTTTTTAATCAGAGAGTTTATAAGTATTTAAAAGGATACTATAGGCAGTAAAACAACTTTAGTTTAACGAAGTAGTTTTGGTGTATAGATTAGGCCCCTGTAGTCTCTCTGCTTAATTCTCTGCCATTTAGGAGTTTACTGCACAGTGTGTTTACTTTAGATATTTTTATCTCCTACTATGTTAATTGAGGGGAGAGTGCTGTAGTCATTATCAAGCTATTAACAGTGCAGGAGATAAGAAATTCTAAATTAAACACACTGCGCAATAAAGCAGGTTTAATATTTAGACTTTTTTTCAGGAAGGTGCATGGAGGCTGTGTGAGTCATGGGTAGGGGAGGTGTGGCCATGGCTGCATAAACAAAGTGATTTATCACCTAAATGACAGAGAATTGAGCAGTGAGACTCCAGTGACATGCTAAACACATCAACACTTTTTATTAAGCTAAAGTTGTTTTAGTGCTTACAGCAAGCATGTCAAACTCTCAGCCCGCGGGCCACACAGGGACCATCTTTGCGGCCGGGCGAGCTGCGAGTACATGCTCAATGTTATAGCAGAGTAGGCACCTGCTTTCCCCACATTGCAGGTGCCTAGTCTGCTAACACTTACCCAGTCGGGGATGAGGGCCAGCAAGGGAGCTCAGTGTTTCAGCTCCTCACTGCTCCCTCGCGTGCGCCGTCTGTAGTGAAGTCAGGCACCGGAATATGATGTCATATTCCTGCACCCGGCATCACTAAACTGCATGAGGGAGCAGTGAGGAGCAGATAGAAGGACCCCAGGGAGATGCCCCACATCAGGTCCAAAAGGTAGGGAGCAATACAGTAAAGTATGTGTGTGCAAGAATGTGTAAGTGTGTGTGTCAGTGAGTGTGTGTGTGTCTGTCAGTGAGTGTGTCTGTCAGCGAGTGTGTGTGTGTCTGTGAGTGTCTGTCAGTTTGTGTGTCTTTCAGTGAGTGTGTCTGTCAGTGTGTGTGTGTGTCTGTGAGTGTGTCTGTCAGTGTGTGTGTCTGTCAGTGTGTATGCGTGTGTGTGTGTGTGTCTGTCAGTGGTGCATTGGCTGCAACTGGACAGTGGAGTACTTGGACGTGCATGGAGGCACGCAACGCCACGTCACATTCCGACGTGACATCAACGTGCTCCACCTTCACAGGGTTTCAAGAAGTAGCGGGAGGATCAGATTTGGCACAGGGTGCGGACGGCATCATTTGGGGTAAACAGGAGGCCGGACTCCGGAGTCGAATACTGGCAGCGGCAATGTGAGTGGAGTCTGCTTGTTGGCTAGAGGGGGGTGCTGGGATTTAGTAGAGGGGGAGGACTGGGATTTAGTATATGGGAGGAGGACAGGGATTTACACTTACAAGATATGAAACCATTCAAACATTGAAATAATCTCATAATGATGACCTAACCCATGCAAGTGCGTGGGGTAAACTATCTATTTACACCATGATTAGACATTAAGGACATTTGGTGCTAACTGGATGATTTAAATGACACTGGAGGGATGATTTACTTCATACCGGTACACGGAGAGATTTTACTGCTGCAGCGTAAAACAGATGAAACGCGTAGGGATTGTGCAATCTAAGCTTTGAATCTGGTGTTTTATGTGTTTATATCGGTGTACATTAAAAGTGCAGGATTCTTAACACTGCGGGAAGTGAGGTCCGGGTGAGGGTGTTGTTATAGCAACAAATTATTCCAAGGTGTGAATTGTTTATATGTTTTAAGTGCTGCACTTTTTGAAGGTTTTTACTCTTATCAATTGTCTTCACTGCATATTTTCCTTCTGTTTACATCCTTATACACACTGGATGAAAGGCTGAATATCTTACAAGATCACTGATAACTATTGCAACAAAACCAGGGAATATGAGAACTCCGAGAACGGACAAAAGCTTAGAGAAACTTAATAGCTTGTCTTTGGTTAGTGCCCGCTCTTACTGCCCACTTGTGCCATTACAGGGAGAACCTATACCATTTGCATGTGAGACTGATCACCACCCACAGGGCATTCCTGAACCAAAATGCCAGCAATTTCTGTCTGCATGAGTGATACAGCAACCCCAGACAATCACTTTGGCCTTAATTGAGCCTCGTCAGCAAGGTGAAGCCAATTCTCCACTAGGCACATTGAGCACGGGTTTACCCTTTTAGCTTAGGGAGAGCTAAGTTAATGCATTGCAACACAAACAGAGGATATGAGAAGCTTAGAAAAACTATTAAAAGTCATGCGTATTGATGTGTCTGTACCTCGCCGTGTTAAAATATCATATTGTGAAATCTATGAAATATAGAAGTTAGTATCTTTTTTATTTTAAATCACTGTGCTAAAAAATATATACATACAGAACTAAGAATGTGTAGTCCAATGCTACCAGCCAGCTTTACACGTTACCCGCCAGTGTACTCTATAACATATTTGTTCAGTATCGCATGTTTTGGGTTGTCCATAATTTGAGTACATTTCTATATCTTATTTATTATGTTTAATTTCAACACATATTTGTTATAATTTTTACTTCTCTAATCCATGAAAAAAATAAAGAGTTTACATAGAAATAAGTTCTGTATACACCCATGGAAACCATAACTGTTTGATTAAAAAGGATCTCTCACAAAAGTGTTTTCCCACAAAACCTATGTTCTTTCTCTTCTCAGATTCAAAACAACCCTTATGGGGCATTCTGAACAGTACATACTGATCCATTCAATAGCACAGAACTTCAGAAACGTAACAAGAGAATTGGACTTACCAGGCTCTCGAAGTCTGATATGGCATCCCGGTTGGACTGAGATTATCTCCTTTTAAAGTGTGCACAGAGTGCGCGGTTTGACACTGAGCCGACGTTTGAGAAGAATCCTGTGTCGATTTGTCCCACTGCCTCTGTCCTTGTCTCATCCATTTGGCATGAATACCCCATCTTGTCAGGTGCAACTTGCAAAATTCAAAGTTCATTGCGGAATAATACAACATGTCCAATACAAGCAGGACAACCACAAAAAATCCATAAATCCAGACTCCAACCAGTGCACTGTAGTTGCTGAATAAAAAAAAAATATATACAATTACTACAAGTTAAAACACATGGTAAACTATGGGGACACGTAAAAAGCAGACGCAATCAAAACAATTATTGTCAAAAATGAACAGTGTGAAAAAAGGGCTAATTTTCTTTAATGGTGTCTTCATCAATCAAAATCAATATAGCGAATATTATTGTGATAGTCAGAGAATTAAAAGTGCATGATAAATATAACTGACACAAAACAGGAGGCGCTATACAGTGTGCTGGCAGAATGTTTACTAATCAAACATTAATTACATTTTCCTTTAACGCTGTCCTCAGAGCTGTCCATTTTCCTTTTTTTCGTTGTTATTCCCCCAAACATTTAAGATTTATTGAAATGGTTTTTGTTGCAGTCTGAATGAGCATCCGTCATATCTGGAACTCTCCTGATATAACCACCAAAGCATTGTGTTAGTCTAAATTGGCTAATCTTTTTACACTTGGCATGTGGAGTTGTAAAGTTTCAGATTTTACAAATAATGGGCGCCCTACACCCATGTGGGCTGCATGACGAGGAGAAGCCCCAGAACCAACCTCACTCAGGTCGAAGCACCACAAATCCTCGGACAACCAGAACACCGAACTGAACTAAGAGGGAGATGCAAAGGAGGCTTGGAACTCCAAGTCCTGCTCCGGCCCTCCTAAAAGCCCTGGTACCCCTGACCAATAAGACTGTTGAAAAGCCTGCAATATAGTAAGCAAAGCCTAATTGGAAATGTTGTCAGCCATAATTAACACAAAAAGCTCCAACGAGAACTAAGAAGAATCAATGCCAGACTCCCTCAGCAGGGTTCCTCAGCAGACCAACAGGAATTCCCAGAATCCCCTGGTCCATATGACTTCACCAACAAAGTATACATTTTGTTGCAATGGCTACTGTCTGTAGTAATAGTCGTGTTCCCCCATTCCTTAAAAAAGTATAGATTTTATTAAACTGCTATGTAAAGATATGGTTCCTTCCTCACCTGTTAATCAATTTTTGGCACAAAAGGCTGTGCTCTCAGCAATGAAACCAGTGTGACGGCTGTGTCATTGGCTCACAGGGCTATTAATTTAAGAAATGACATACATTATTCATCTTTATGATAAATGATAAATGTATTGCTTAAGGAGATGTTAGACTATATATTTTAGGTTTCCAAGCCGGCCCAGAGGTGGTGGCGAGAGTGTACCTCTAGAAACAATAAGTGACTACCCCGTTGTGTTTCAGACCAACATCAATCCAAATTGAAACTTTTCATTTTATTTCCTCTTTTGTGCCACAGAAATAAAAATTGCATGTATGATTTTGTTGCAATTTTTCTATTCCATAAATATGTCAGACTTCCTCCTTATGACCTAATACAATGGACTTCACAATTCCTTCCAAACAGCTTGAGCTACACTAACCATGTTTATACTCTTTTTGTAGTTTGTGCTTTGCCCAGTCTAAATAGGCACAAAAGGAGGCTCTATTTTTCATCTGTGGGTTATGATCAATGTTTATTTTGGATAGACCCTGGTCTTTTTATTGCTATCGGCCACTTAGCATTTCAAAAGTACACACGATCTAAGTGGGGATATAGGCATATGACAGATTATCAAGTTAGTTTACATTGAAGCTAGACTTAGAGGCAACTCATGTGTAACATTTCACACCTTGCTGACATCTATCACATTTCTATATCATTTAAATTCACCTCTTTTGAAATCTATCCTCTGCAATCAAACTGGTCCTACCACCTCTACCAAGTGGACATTCCATGTATGCACTACACAAATTACATTAAATAGCAATATTCTATAGTGCAACAATGAATTATGCACCCTTGTTGTGACAGGCACCATTATCAGAAATTTTTGAGAAAATACAGAGCTGACCCCATGTTCTTGTCTAAGCTGAAACTGTTGGTCTCTATAGTAAAAGCTTGGATAAGACATCGACCAGTTCTATAATAGGGGTCTTTTTATCTGTCTACAGTTTAATCCATTGTAACCTTATCAAACAAGTGACAAGTGGCAGATGCCTTAGGAGGTTTTTACTGAACCATGCCCGTAGTAAATACCCACAGCTGGATATGTGATTCTACAAGTGTTTTGCGAGCAGGTTGTTCATTTAAGGACCCCTTGCTGTTAAATGAGGCAATAAGTGTTTTAATGAGGTACCGGAGTCTCCAGAGTTATTTTATTTATGTTTTTTACTTTAGTTCCTTTTACTTACATTTCAAGTTAAATAGAACTTCAGCTTATATACAAAGGGCAAAACGTCTTCATTATTAAAGGGAAATTCTATTTCCAAAAATTGATCATTGCAAAAAACCCATCAATTTTCCCCCTGCAAATCTCGAAGTAGTTTTATTTTTAACGTACACACCATCAACAACAAAACTAGAATAGTGCTATTTCTTCTTCTTACCATAATGCTATAGATGAACAAAAGGAACTCTGTAGTTTGATAAAAACCTTTCCTATGGACTTCCACATGACGTGAGAGCGCATTGTAAACCATATAACAGAGATAACACGACTATTCGGGGGCAAGAATACCCAAGATGCTTTATTGAAAACAAAGCCTCCAACAACCCAACAGTTAACTGTTACAGGGCTATATACTAAATTGAAAATTCAAAGTACATTTCACATCGAAGGCCAAAGTAGCCGAAATGCAAGCAGAGCTGATTTTTTTCCCAGTTAGACTATTTTTACCTTACATTTGGAATTCCCTTTGAATTCTCACTTTTGTGAATATTGAATACCTCTGTGACGCAACCAAATCAATAGATGCTAATATATATATCCCCTAGTACAAGCATTTTCACAGCAATGGAAATAGAGAAGGATTTCAATGGGACATGTCCATTTCCTCTGTGGCTTTTATGTAATGTGCTCAAGTTACAATTAATTCCCCAAATGAGGAATCTGATATTATCAGAAGCCACTCGCCCTAACCCAATTCAGTTGTCCCACCCAGCATCGGAATGAATAAACAAAGGGCCTTGGTGCGGGGATTTCTTTTTTGGAGCCCCCGCAACTCCAGAGAATTCATGTCTAAGTCCCTAAACATGTCCCAACTTGACACAGCTAAATAACCAACTTAAGAGTCACAATGCCCTATATCTCAAGGCCAGTTCACCACCTCCTTCCCAATTTAGATTATTACTATTAGCTCTCTCACCGCACCTGCAGAAGCTCCGCTCCCACCTGATTCTTCCACCATAAATTCCTAAGGATGTCCATTGGCACTGCCCCTCGGTTCTGATTGTATATTAGTCTGTCCGCCATACTGACACATAGAAACCATCCCCTGGAAGTTGGCTAATCTCCTCTTACTGGTCCAATATACAGATTTGAACTGCTTATTATATTTAGACCTCCCCCGATGTTAACTTTTTTGAGCAAGGGGTACAATGTTTTCAATTGCTCTTTCAAACAGCTAATAATAGGTTTATAAATTCAATTAAAACGTCTTATTGAGAATAAAAACATGATATATAAGATAATACACAAAACAACAAACTGAAATATGTGTTGGGGGATTTAAAAAGCCAAGGCAGCTGGTAATAATTATGAAGTGTATTATTCTGCTCGTAGTACGGGCTGATCTAAATTGCCAATTTGTCTATTCAAATGTCTAATAAAACTAGATTTATAGCGCATCGAACAAGTTTTAGATTTTTGTATTTTTGCATGCTATCCAGGACTTGTAGAAACAGTCATTTATTAAAATGATCCTATTCAGTGAGGAACTGCCAGTTAAAAAAATTACAGATAAAACAAACAGTGTTCTATTCAATAAATACATTGTACAACAATTTATTAATCACTGCGCCCGTGGGATCCCCATCTGCTTCTTGTAAATAACATCTGTTTCTTATAGAGATTTAATTAAGGCTCTGCGAGGCTTTGTCACAGCAAACAGAACGCTATAGACACGTTAAAATGGCATAACGTTGTTTATTCTTTGTTTAATATACTCCTGTAGATGAAGGCAAACACATAGAGAAAAAGGGGTAATGAAGAAAGGAGGATGTAATAACACAAGATAAGTACTTTTGTTTTATCGCTGAGTGGCTATATCTGTGTATATGATGTGCACGGGTTGGATTTTCCAGTAAGATGTTAGGCGGCTGCCTATTGGTAATATTCTGAGCAGTGTCTGCCGTGATATCACGAAGGTGCATGTTTTTATATCAGTACATAGAACAGTATAGAAGCCACTGTATTACTAGGAAGTAAGGTGGGTCAGTTGGGGTCTCCTATAATGCACGTGTCTGACGCAGGACCCTTGATGGGTGTGCTGGAGGCAAAAATGAAAACAGGCAGCGGCAGTGGTGTAAAATTGCAATAATAGCAGAACAAATTGAAAAATCAGGCACTAATATATCAACCTTAAAATTTGCACAGCAGCCTTCCAGAAAAAATACTCTATCCCAGGGACCCCCGACCACACATATCTGCCACTGCTTAAAAAATGATTTGCCGTCCAGCTGCACAGCTTCAGGGTCTCGTTCTCCGTTTCCAAAACACAAACTCTTGGGGAAGCGGCTAGATCGCTTTCTGATACAAAATGAAAAAAAAAGAAAATACGAAAAGGGAAACGTAATACGCAGTTAGGCATGTTCTAATAGGGAGGGGATGTGGCATGCCGTTATTTGGGCTTAGCATCGTTGCCATGGCAATGTACTAATGGACGGATTATGGATTTATTTATAAATGGTATTAATTGGATTCAGGAATTTAAATGGAAATCTGCTTTTATGAAATGCCTGTTACTGTGTCTGAAACAGGCGTAATCTGTACACAGCACCCTGGCTGCGTGCGTCTCCATCCGGGGCTGGGAGCAATTCGAAAAGCATTTTAACCCAGTAGGTACTATCGAGCCATTTCATGCACATTTAAAATCTGTTTATGGGTCCTTTAACCCCTTAAGGACCAAACTTCTGGAATAAAAGGGAATCATGACATGTCACACGTGTCATGTGTCTTTAAGGGGTTAAACTTAATATAAAATGTTATTTTGTATTATGATGTCTTATATATTTTAACCAACAGAATATCAGGAAATAAATGTCAAGGAGTAAAAAGACATCTGGCTAATTGCGTTTGGTCAAATAAAACTGTTACTTTTTGTTTATCTTCATTACTTTGTTTCAGAATGAAGGCATGGATTTAAGGCCAAAATTTAACCCCAAATAAAGGGTTTCCTATTACTATTATTGTTGAATAGACTTTAGTGGAAGAGTTGATATTCAGTAAGCTGAGAGTAAACTGTTACCCTGCTAAGAGAATCCTGCTCAAAATTTGAGTTACCTTCTCAAAATACTCCCCCTGCTGTGACGGCAAACACAAACTGGCTAAAAACACACAATCCGCCACAAACAGCTGGTCTTTCATTATAGCAGAGATAATGTTTTAATATTTGAGATCACCCATGAAAGAAATTTCTGTAATTTGACAAATATAGAATACAGTGTTTCCCAAACCAGTCCCCAAGGACTACGGATCTAATAAATCCACCCTGTAATCATTCACTCACTCACTCACGCACTCATTCACTGACTCACTCACTCACTCACTCACGCAATCACTCACTCACTCAATCAATCATTTACTCACGCAATAATTCACTCACTCACAACACTGATTCAATGAAATAAACCTACAGGGAATACTTAAAGTCCAAATTTTAAAAGGTGCGTGAGTCAGAAGGTTTTGTATCTATCCATCGAAACTCTACACTTGAGTAAAGCTAGTCTAAATGGTGGGACCACTAACTACTTAACCTACACTCAAACAGGGCTATAATCTTATGAGTTCAAGGGGTTAAACCTCCCTTGTGATCTTATAATAAAATTATTATTTTTCTACGTGTTTAATATAAAACATGCTTCAAGTGAATAACAGCTGTTTCTAGGAGTCTTTCCTTTGGTCTCTGACAGTCAGGAAATCTCCCTCAGAATCAATTCAGCCAGGGATATTCATAGAGAATTATACAAACAGCATCTGCGGGAACATTCGATTTTATTATTTTACTCTAAAGTGATATTTCAAGCGTTTTAATCCAGGACTGCATCTAAATCCCATCAAACAGCTGGAGAGCGTTGACTCCTGACCGGTTCTCAGTGTTTTCACTAGTTTTTATCCCAAAAGATTAAATGAGGAAGATTTCAAATGCTCGATGAAAATAAAAATAAAATTGCAGAATCGTTGTCTATAGTAAGGCTCGCACATTGGTTACTTATAGAATATCCCATTCCCAAGGCCATCTCTTATACTGTAACAGGTCACATATTTTACCGACTGGCAAAGCATCATGGTAGATGTAGTTCGACGTTTGTGATGGGCCACACTGTATTAAACTCTGCTGTAAAAAGGCTAAATCTTACAGAACATATTGGAAAATAAAATAATAATAATATGAGTTTAATTATATTGGACAGTCCAACTAAAAGATGTTTTTTTCCACTGGATTGATAAATATATCTACATTTTCTGTTTACAAAACAAACCTATTTTTAAAATGGTGTATGCAGATGACAGAGGGAATGTCTATTACACAGGGAAACTGTACATTTTCCAACTTCGGTGAACATGAGATTGGGATCAGGAGATATGGAGGTTTACTGTGATGCAATTTGGGTCATCGGTGACATGCCTGGCAGATAAGGGTGAATGACCTGTCCCCATCAAGGTGGCCAGCCATACTGAAGTTATAAAAATCCCCTAAACTTACCTGGAATTACCTGGTACAGTGCTGAGTAGCTTAGAACCCGCTGCATTTTCCTCCCCAGAAGTAGGATGCCCCCCCCCCCAATGAAATGGCAGGCAAAGGGCCCTAAACTGGGACTGTCCTATGACATGTGGGGGCAAGTATGGGCAGGAGGAGTGTCTGCTGAGGGCCATCCAGTTTTAGTGCACATCATCCGATCCTTATGTTGTGTTATTATAAAAGGCAGACGGAGTGTAGAATATTACGTATTCGAATCACACATTCACATTAGATATGGGTAGTAGTAATGGGCTTTCAATCCGCTAAGTGGGGGGCTCTCCGTTACACTTGCCTGGGGGCCCATCCAGCATGCAACTGGCATTGATCTTATTAGAAATATTTAGGGTGTGTGTAATAATATATTTTTATAAAAAATTCATTAATTTTCAACTCAGATAGTGAATTATTAGTCAATTTCCTAACTCCACAAATATACTCATATCATAGAATTGTTTTAGCACGTTAGCTGATCTCAATCTGATAATATACCCTGATACCTTGTTTTAACTCATTATTTGACGTGATGGATACTTTCCTTGCACATTGTAATTCTCTGTATTTATAGTAGTTCTATTATGTTTGCCATTTTCATTGTTGCCACAAATAACAAACTTAACACAGACTAAATATCTTTAAATTTAATTGCCCCATGTTTTTCAAACACCATTCCCACTGACAGTCTGTTTCCATTGTGGCCAGTGGCCATGTGGCACCCTTAATATTACACACCGTTACTTATCATATCACAATAATCACTTACTTATGCATATATCCATCGGAACCCATGGTGAGGTTCATCTGCATGACGTTCTGGAACTCTGTCTCGTTACAGCAGTATTTAAACATGGAGTTATTGTGGTAGCAGCACAGGATGTAGGATTTATTATCAGACAGACGCGGACAGTGGAAACCAAAATGGTACCGGCCTTTGTGGTCAGTGTACGGCTCGCAAACCCGATAATGGGCAGAAGAGGCTGTGAAAAAAAAAGTAGTTTTATTTAACAAGCATTATAAATTGTCATCATTTCACACCGTGTGAAAAAGCCACAACTGGCAACACCTATAGTTGACGCCTGTGAAAGGAACGTCCGGAAGTGGGTGTTTAAAGGACCACTCTAGGTACCCAGACCACTTCAGCTTAATGAAGTGGTCTGGGTGCCTGGTCCAGCTAGGGTTAACCCCAGAGAAAACTGCTATGTTTATAAATGGGTTAATCCAGCCCTCAAATCCTCTAGTGGCTGTCTCATTGACAGCCGCTAGAGGCGATTGCGTGATTCTCACTGTGAAAATCACAGTGAGAGCACGCAAGCGTCCATAAGAAAGCATGATGAATGCTTTCCTATGAGACCGGCTGAATGCGCGCGCAGCTCTTGCCGCGCATACGCATTCAGCCGAATGGGAGGAGAGAAGGAGGATCGGAGGAGAAGAGCTCCCTCAGGGCACTATAGTGCCAGGAAAACGAGTATGTTTTCCTGGCACTATAGTGGTCCTTTAACATGAGAAGGGATATGTAATGGCATACCTCCTCAGTGTCCCTATTTAGGAGAGGCAGTCCCTATTTCTGACCAAAATCCCTTTGTCCCGCTATTCTTTCCTAATGTCCTTCTTTTCTAGGAGCTCCATATTGTTGGTGTGTCTGAGTGTATAACAGAGCTCCACAGCAAGAATACTCCCAGTAACGTGTCTGAGTGTATAACAGAGCTCCACAGTAATAATACTCCTAGTAATGTGTCTGAGTGTATAACAGAGCTCCACAGCAATAATACTCTCAGTAATGTGTCTGAGTGTATAACAGAGCTCCACAGCAATAATACTCCCAGTAATGTGTCTGAGTGTATAACAGAGCTCCACAGCAATAATACTCCAGTAATGTGTCTGAGTGTATAACAGAGCTCCACAGCAATAATACTCCCAGTAATGTGTCTGAGTGTATAACAGAGCTCCACAGCAATAATACTCCCAGTAATGTGTCTGAGTGTATAACAGAGCTCCACAGCAATAATACTCCCAGTAATGTGTCTGAGTGTATAACAGAGCTCCACAGCAATAATACTCCCAGTAATGTGTCTGAGTGTATAACAGAGCTCCACGGCAATAATACTCCCAGTAATGTGTCTGAGTGTATAACAGAGCTCCACAGCAATAATACTCCCAGTAACGTGTCTGAGTGTATAACAGAGCAATAATATTCCCAGTAATGTGTCTGTAAACTACAATAAAGGTGTTTGGAAATCAGTCTGTGTAAATAAGATACATTGTTCTTGTTCTAAATTACATTTTAATTGTATACATTGTTATTAGTAAATCACCTAAATTTTGGCTACAACCCTCAGAACAGAGCTGCCCCTGGCCACACACACACACTCACACTCAGAACAGTCCCGTCCCTGGCCACACCTCATCCACCCCTAAAATGACACTGTCCTTCTTTGTTCATATGAAATGTTGAGATATGTAATGGAGAGGGAGGGAAGGAATAGAAAGGGGTGTTTATACAAACACACACAGACATACAAACACACATACAAACACAGACATACAAACTAACACACAAACACACACATATACATAAAATAAATATGTGGTAAGTAAAAGCAGCCTAGTCTCTTTGCACCACGGCCACTGCATTGAACTGTACACTGAGTGTTAGTGGTTATGGTGCCCAGAGTGTCACTTTATTAAATGTATATTGCAAGTCATTTTATGACAGCTGTCCTTTAAATAGAGACTGGCAAATATTTCTGAGACAGTCAGAGTTTAGTGAATAACCTTTTGTTGATTCTGCCCAGCTACAGACAGGGCAGAGAGTGGTCTGAATGGTGCCCTCCACATCGTGAATACAAACTCATTAAGGGACGAGATGTGATGTATCTGTGTTGTTTGAATTCCAATCTCCTCTTACAAAGTGTATCAGGGGAATTACAAAGACAAGTGGCTCGCTGGTGCAACAAATGGCATTTTCTGTAAAGATTTATAGATTTATCTTTATAACCCATTAAGTACGATACATAAATGTTTTATACGAGGTAGCTATCTCTTCTGTCATTTAGCAGCTGCCATCTGAGGCGAATACAGCAGCAAGGTCATTATAATAAATAATGAGGAAATGGGCAATTTATTTACGGAAGCAGAAAGGGTGACTTTACAGGAAGCGAATGTACTGGGATAATATGTTCACGTTTGGGATCTTAAAGAGGAATCGTATATTCAGAAATAGATCAAAGTAGAGTTGTGAACTTGTTTCCATGATGAATGCATCAAGTAGGAAGCTATTTACGTACAGCGCATCAGTCGTAATGTCACATATCTGCTACCAATCTGTGCTGTCCGGACGGTTCAAACCAGAAGAGAGTTACAAAGATATTTGATTTCATACACAAGTATTAAGGATAATATTGCAAAGCGCTACGGAATCTGTTGGCGCTATATAAATGGCAATAATAATAATAATAAGTATAGAAGCTCAATTATCGAAAACTGTATGAGTTTGACTCCAGTGAGAACCAAGCCTTGTTGACATGAGCCCACATCAAAACATAGGGAGGGTAGTGGACAACTATACAGAGTGTCTTCCAGACAAAAGCTACATCAATGGGCACAATAACATCAAAATGATAACATCTGGATTAGAACCATAGAAGCCTCATGGCTAAAGGATCGTGAAGTAGCCACCAACCGAGAGAAGCTTGTTGGTCAAGGCATTAGCCTTCCAAGCCATGAACATGAGCCAATTCGACAAGAGAGTGATGGTTGGAGTCGTGTGGCCCCAATGGGGCTCAGAAAAATGAAGAAACAAGGAAGAAAACTTCCTAAAAGGCCTAGTGGCATAAAAATAATAATACTTGAGATGATGGTGGAGGAGACTAGAAGCACCAGAGAGGTAAATTGTGAAGAATCCTGGCCATCGGCCACTGGAAGGAACAAATAGATCAAGTGGAAGATTTAATAGATTGTCAGTGCATCTACCAGGGCCTTACACGGCCTCTGATACGGAATGCTAAAATGGCAGGTTGTAAGAGGCCATGTGTATCGGGATATTGTCCAGGTAAAGAACAAAACGAGGTAGCTCATGAACCTTGGTGAACACCTCGTGAGCCGTGGCCACAGTAGAGGGTAGGGAGACAAAATGGCAGTGCTTTAGAAACTAATGGCAGTGTGCAGTAATAATATTCATAATGACAGATTAATTAGAAAATGTTGGACATTACTGACTTTAAACAAAGTACTGAGCTGCGATGCCTACATCTGTGGCACCATTTTGTTTATTTAAGATTCATCCTTTCCTTGATGGCTGTATCACACCTTAGTGTCAATCTGTACAAAGACTGAAACATGCAGGATTGAAAACGTTACACGCAACTACCAGATAAAGGAAAATGAAAAGCCGTTTTTTGCCTTGTTCTCTTTAAAAAAATAGTACAAACAGAACACCATTTTCCTAGTGCTTTTGGAACGCAGGGCTTTGAAAGTACATTGTTTCTAAAAATCTCAGACAAGACACTTTGTTTTTTATCTACTGTGCTTTTATTATACCCAAATGGGAAATACGTGACGCCTGGCAGACGAGCTGCTGAATTAATGTGAGCAGAAAGAAAGGCGACCATTTATTTTATTTTAATTACACTGTAGTAAATTACACACCCAGTTCAAGAAAAGTGAAAGCTTTTCTTCATGATGACTAAATAAGACATTAATCTATATACTGGGCCTGCCCCACATTTTTTGGCTGTGGATAATAACACTGCTCCAGGATCAATTCATTTATTGATCACGTTTTTATTGCAACATGTCATTATTTCACAGGAGCCGTTTATATAAAACCAATACATCTAGTATTGTGTCCTTTGTAAATGTATTCTGCATTAGTTAGGTAAATGGTGTCATTTCTGACAGATAATAAAACACGTTTGGGGGGGGGGGGAGTCTATTTATAAGTCCTTGGGTTTATTTACCAAACTGGAACATTCTAGAATAGAGAATTTGAAGAACAATTTTAAAATATTAGGCCAAAACGAGCCTCAGTTGAATTAATGGGTACATAGAGCTTGGGTGCAATCATTATTGCTGCTCTCCTCCAATCAAATGCTTCCTATCCAGATGCGTTGAATCCATTACCTGTAGTGGTTATGGTGCCAGGTGGGCCACTTTAGTACAGTTTGACAATTTACCTGGTCCCGAGCCACCTGTGCTGCATCTGATCTTATCCTTATTTATAGAATAAAGCACAGCTGATTTAGGACTGTGCTCGTTGACATTCTCAGCCAATGACGGGGACCCTGAAAGGTCCTACCTTGATCTATAGAGCAATCTGGATACCACTGTAGGGAATGGGGTCGCTGGCATTTGGTGGAACCCGGGTTAGTTATCAAACCATAGTCAAACTGTTTGAATACTTACTGGTGGGCATTGCTGGCACTATATTCTCGGTAGAAGGCTGTAGTGGTTATGGTGCTTGGAGTGTGCCTTTAACGTGTTTTCTTGTTTTAAACAAATGCTGATTGTGTCTTTGTGTGGTCAATATGTCGGTGAAATTATAGATTACCTTTTGAAGACATCACCAAGAACAGCAATACCAGCAAACTGAGTAATCGGATAGTCCAGCCAGTCATCCTTTTGGTCTCATCCGTCCATTAGAGAATTATCTACGGAATCCAGATAAAACAAATGCAACAGTCACCACTTTATACACAACAACATTACCGAGAGAGCGAGGGATTGAGAGAGACAGAGAGAGAGAGAGGGAGAGAGACAGAGAGAGAGAGCGAGGGAGGGAGACAGAGAGAGAGGGAGAGAGACAGAGACAGAGTGCGAGGGAGAGAGACAGAGAGAGAGCGAGGGAGGGAGAGAGACAGAGAGAGCAAGGGAGACAGAGAGAGCGAGGGAGTGAGAGAGACAGAGAGAGCGAAGGAGGACGAGAGACAGAGAGAGAGCAAGAGGGAGAGAGACAGAGAGCGAGGGAGAGACAGAGAGAGAGTGAGGGAGAGAGACAGAGAGAGAGCGAGGGAGGGAGACAGAGAGAGAGAGCGAGGGAGGGAGACAGAGAGAGAGTGAGGGAGAGACAGAGAGAGAGCAAGGGAGACAGAGAGAGAGGGAGGGAGACAGAGAGAGAGCGAGGGAGGGAGAGTGTGAGAGGGAGGGAGAGAGAAACAAAGAGAGAGCGAGGGAGAGAGAGCGAGGGAGGGAGAGAGACAGAGAGAGCGAAGGAGAGAGAGACAGAGAGAGAGTGAGGGAGGGAGACAGAGTGAGGGAGGAAAACAGAGAGAGAGTGAGGGAGGGAGACAGAGAGAGAGCGAGGGAGGGAGAGAGACAGAGAGAGCGAGGGAGACAGAGAGAGCGAGGGAGTGAGACAGAGAGAGCCGAAGGAGGACTCAGAGACAGAGAGAGAGCGAGAGGGAGAGAGACAGAGAGTGAGGGAGAGACAGAGAGAGAGTGAGGGGAGAGAGACAGAGAGAGAGCCGAGGGAGGAGAGAGAGAGAGAGAGCGAGGGAGGGAGACAGAGAGAGAGTGAGGGAGAGACAGAGAGAGAGCAAGGGAGACAGAGAGAGAGGGAGGGAGACAGAGAGAGAGCGAGGGAGGGAGAGAGTGTGAGAGGGAGGGAGAGAGAAACAAAGAGAGAGCGAGGGAGAGAGAGTGAGGAAGGGAGAGAGACAGAGAGAGCGCGAGGGAGGGAGACAGACAGAGAGAGAGCAAGAGAAACAAGACAGAGACGGAGGAAGTAAGACAGAGAGCGAGGGAGAGAGACAGAGAGAGAGCGAGAGAGAGAGACAGAGAGAGAGGGAGACAGAGAGAAAGCGAGGGAGAGAGAGAGAGCAAGGGAGGGAGACAGAGATTGAGGGAGAGAGAGAGAGAGAGAGAGAGGGAAGGAGACAGAGAGCGAGCGAGAGAAACAAGACATAAAAGAAGAGAGAAATACAGACTAAGATACATGGTGAGAATGTCTTTTATCTATAGGTAGTGCTTGTTACTATGTGTAGTGTTACTACAAATCCAAACACACACACTTACAGACCGACTTTCAGTCATTCATGAACGCACACATATACACACTATAAACAGACACACATACATACACACACATACAGGCACACACTCACATATACACACACATATAATCAGACACACATACATACATACACACACATACAGGCACACACTCACACATACACACACATATAAGCAGACACACATACAGGCATACACTCACAGATACATAGTTCATGGTTTCCTGTAATGACCACAGTTCTAAGCACCCTTATACTGTGCTGGCACAGGGGCAATACATGTTACGATAGTGCAGAAGCTGTCAGCTGTCCTCTCCTGCCCAATGTTACTCCCCAATGCCCTCTATAACACTACAACTTCCTGTAAAGAGAATAACAGTTCCCTGCCTGCTTTGAAGTCTCACTCCCGTGCAGTCCTGCCTGGTGCGCTGTGTTGCTTCCACGTCCTTCCAGGAATTACTAAATGGTCTCAGACTTGAGTCCTATAGTGGAATCCTCCATTGGTAATGCAGGCCAGCCTCCTTCCCACCAAACTATGGGCCCTTGCCTGTGGGGTTTGCAAGGTTTGGTAATCCTTGTTTTAAAAGAGAGTTCTGTCAGGCTCTCCATTGCCCTCTGTTGGCGGAAACCTTGTTGGCATAATTACCATATGCAAATTAGGATATTGCAAAAACTGACTAGTTGTATCTACATAACTCTGTTTTCCCATAGTTTGGAAAGTTGTAATTTTGTTATATACTTGAGGCATTATTATCTTGCATGTTCTTCACGTTATGTATGTTTATATTTTTATAGACATATGCTTAAGGACTAGGTGGCAAAGGCTAGTCCTAGTTCAAAAATAAAATATTGCATGTTAGCTCCTTTTTTGAACTGTGTCCCCTGTGTGGATTTGTTCAGGGATCCGAGTAAAAGATCCTTTGGACCTGTTGGCTAGCTGCTTGATCCCTGTAGCCTGGGACAAGTCAAAAAGAGAGCTAGGTCTGAGAGCCACAAGTGCCTTCATAAAGGCAGAAGCTAATCACATTACAGGCAGAGGTGTGGATACCGACCTAGAAGGAGAGCTGCAGAGGAATAGGTAGAGGGGATGATGCCTGTCTGGAAGGAGAGAGCTGCAGCATGATCGGGAGGAAGAGCTCCTAAGAGGCCCAACCTTCAGCGACTGCCTGTAGCAGCGAGGAAGTGGACTTGGTGGAGGTACTCGATTGGAGTACGTGAGCTCCATCGCAAGTTCATTTTACACATTTTGAGGCAGTGGCAGTCCATTAATTGTTGGAAGCCTCTCTCTCTATTGCAAGCACAGAGGGAGAGGAGATAGGGCAATAAGCTACCAGGCCTGCAGCTTAATGTGCGGTTCCTCCATCACCTGCTTTCACTTCATTCTACAGCTTGAAGCCACGTCCACATAAAGGCCATTGGTCCACCGAGTATTTGTCCAGCAAGCTCTATGGCCAGACAGGTCTTGGGCATGAGAATCGGCTGACTGGTGAGGGAAATCTTTGATCTCCCCATCGACTATGCTGCTCCTCTCCTGCCTGCTGCAGTGAGACAATGGCCTCGGTGGCCTTCTGGCAAATCTTGCCCTGTGCAACCTCTGGAAAAAACAAACAAATACCATGTTTCTTTGTCAGGTACTTACAAGGCTAAATAATTACTCCAAACAGCACAACTTCAGCGATTTGAAGTGGTTATGGTGCCTTGAATCTGTATGTGCAGCACTTTGCTTAGGATTGCTGCACATACAGAGTTTACCCCCTTGATGCCAAATGTGTAACTCCACCTCTTGTAGCGTCATTGGGGCATCATTTTCCAGGTCAGAACAAGGGTTTTGAGAGGCTAATGTATGGGAAGGGGACAGCACAGCAAGGGTTACTCTAACAAAAACAGTGTTTTATGAAATCACTAGGAATTAAAAAAAGTATAAAAACCTCCAAAACAACAACATCCTAGAATGCAAATCTCAAGTAAATCATGCTAATCGCAAGGCTGTAAAATTCCAGTAGCCAATTAAATCATGTATGTCCTGTTCACCGATCTCTGCCTTGCGTTTTGGGAGAATTTGGGGGTTATGGCAGCTCTGAGTATATTAAAGGGACACTATAGTCACCTGAACAACTTTAGCTTAATGAAGCAGTTTTGGTGTATAGAACATGCCCCTGCAGCCTCACTGCTCAATCCTCTGCCATTTAGGAGTTAAATCCCTTTGTTTATGAACCCTAGTCACACCTCCCTGCATGTGACTTGCACAGCCTTCCATAAACACTTCCTGTAAAGAGAGCCCTATTTAGGCTTTCTTTATTGCAAGTTCTGTTTAATTAAGATTTTCTTATCCCCTGCTATGTTAATAGCTTGCTAGACCCTGCAAGAGCCTCCTGTATGTGATTAAAGTTCAATTTAGAGATTGAGATACAATTATTTAAGGTAAATTACATCTGTTTGAAAGTGAAACCAGTTTTTTTTTCATGCAGGCTCTGTCAATCATAGCCAGGGGAGGTGTGGCTAGGGCTGCATAAACAGAAACAAAGTGATTTAACTCCTAAATGACAGTGAATTGAGCAGTGAAATTGCAGGGGAATGATCTATACACTAAAACTGCTTTATTTAGCTAAAGTAATTTAGGTGACTATAGTGTTCCTTTAACTGTTGCTGCACTGAGCACAATGCGTGGCTGTGCCTGTAATCCCACTGCTCGCATCGTGAGGTCTCTGCCAAACTTTATAAATCATGTCCTGTCCCTTCCCATCTGGAAGTTCCCTTGGGGTGATCACTGAGTCAGCGGCAAAAACAGCAAATGTCAGATGGAATCGCTTCCTGAGCATTGAAAGGACACGGAGGACAAGGCGAGGACTCGGCAACTTGGAAACAATATAAGATGTGACGCGTATACCACAACCTCCATGGCAGGTTTACGGTGCTTGCCAGCTGGATTTTACATAAGAATGGTTTTATTTATTTTTATGTGATTAAAGAGAGCTATATACTCTCTTTTCTACAGTCTGCCCAGAAGCTGTTAATCTAGTCACTTAACTGAAGACGTTCCACAGCGAACTTCCATGATGGCTTAAGCTGTCTGTCTGAGTGTCTGCCTATCTGTCTTTGTGTCTGCCTTCCTGTCTAACTGCTTGCTTGTCTGTCTGTTTGCGTGTGTCACGGTCTTCCTAAAAGTCTGAGTGCCTATCTGTCAGTCCTACCTGCATGTCTGCTTGTCTGTCTGAGTGGCTATACGTGTGTCTGTCTGTCTGCCGATCAGTCTATCTTTCTGTATGTCTGCCTGCATGTTTGTCTGTCTCCCTGACTATCTGTCTGCCTGTCTATCAGAAAAGGACCTCGCAGTAGAGTAACAATCAAATTTATAAGCTAAACAAGAATTATAGAATAAAATCAATTTCTCCAGTTACCGGTTGCAATGTTGTTGAAGGCCTGGAAGCTCACAGTAGCTAAATCTTTTATAAAGATTTATAAACATTTACTAGATTTGACAAAATACCCTCTGTGGGCACAACATCCCATATTTTGTTTCATTGTTTTTATTGTAATCAATAATAAATGAGATCTTGTTTCTTCAAATCTTAGAATATGACCAATTGACCTTTGTACAATCCTGTTACTGAACAGGTCACAAGAGAGGTTCTTGTCTATCCACTTACTAATCATTAAAACTTCACAGGCTAATTCAAGGAATATGTTCAAAAGTATAGTTTAGGATTTAGTTGAAACAGTGGTGGAATATCTGTCTAAACAGAAACATGCAGGTTAACGCATTTACAAGCCTTTCGTGCAGTCAATCATTCTGTATAGTTTAAATGTTCCCAGTTAAAATATTGTTACAATATCGGTTATCTTATCACAGTAAATGGA